CCCGGACCGGGGCACGAACCCGTGTCCGGGAGGATCCCACATGCCGCGGAGTGGCTGGGCCCGTGAGCCATGGCCACTGAGCCTGCGCGTCCGGAGCCTGTGCTCTGCAACGGGAGAGGCCACGGCAGTGAGAGGCCTGCATACCGCAAAAAATATATATATAAAAATAAAAATATACAAATTGGATCCTATGGTTGCCCTACAGAAAGCCCTTCAATATTTTCCACTGTAGTCAATGAGAACTTAATGATCCGCTCCTTGTTTACATTTCCAATCCCACGTCAGGTCACCCTCCTCCTTCCATCTCCTTGGCTCATGCCAAGCTCTTTGCCACCCTAGGGCCATTCTATATGTTGTTCTCTTTGCCAGGAATCCTTTTTTTTTCTAGGTTCTTTGTGTGTCTGGCTCCTTCTTTAGGTCATCGCTTAAATGTCACCATCTCAGTAAGACCTGCCCTGACCACACTAGCTAAGAATGTCAATCTCCCTTTCCCACAATCCTCTTGCTCAGTGTCTCGCTCTTGCTGTTGTTTACGTACAGGAGTTGAAATTTACACACTACAACTCAGAAATGCAAAACAATAGCTTAATTTTTTCTCTGTAGGAGATCTCAGTCTTCCCTAGAGTCCTCCTTATTCGGCTGTTGGAACGAGTAACGGTCGTAGGTGATGGGGAGAATATAAACTCACCCTCCTCCGTTCTAAAACAGCTTATTTCAGGTAAGTTCAGCCTCTTTTGGGAAAATGCTCCATCCATTCTAAGTCCAAGCTCTCTCTCAGAACAATCCCCTTCCCCTTTCCATTGTTCTCCTCTCTCCATCCATTTTCCCAGATACTGTCTAGGTACTCAGGGATGCTTTTGCCAGAACTGGGAGAAGGTGGTCTCTGTGTGCTTCATCTCCTGATGTTTCCACTGTAGTGTGGCCAGTTTGGTCTAATACTGGGTCACCAGTGTGCGTCCTAGTGTCCTCTGAGGTATGCCTAATCCTGTCTGGTTCATTTGGATGTCAGGTGGGACAAGCTGCTAAAATCCCTGCCATTTCACTCTAGCTACGGTGACGCAGCTCTCTGTGGACTCTTTCTCCAGCTTCAAACCTCTGTGGGTCCACTGTCCACTCAGGACCTCAGGGACCAGCCCCTCCCCCAGTGTACTTGGGGACTTCTGGACTGCCTAAGGATGGGGGCTGGCAGCACCACCTTGGGGCCATCCATCAATGAGCCTCCCCCTGCTCCTGCTGCTCTACTGGCTCCACTTCACCATGAACATGCGAGAGAAGGTGGAGAAGAGGGGCACTAGCTGGACATTGTCACACCCGCTGTCACTCACATGGGGTTCTATCGCATTGCGCCATCTTGTTGCTGACTCAAGGCTCTGTGTGGGGAAGGTGCTTCTCAGAGGCGAAGGCAGCATCTCCAGCCTGGATGGGAGCCTCCAGGTCTCTCTGCTTCCTCCTGCTATGAAGAATAGTCCACTTCCTCCCCTTCTCAGGTGGGAACTTGCCTTGCCCGACACCTCCAGTCTCTTTATGTTTGGGGTGACTATTTTGGAAATCAAAAGTTCCATATGGAATCCTCAGCGTTCCTGCTTTCAGTCTCCTAACCCTCCCGAAAGCAGTGGATTCCTCTGGCTTAGTGTAAAGATGGTGTAAAAAGAAGCACTAAAAAAACATACATGTGAAGGAGCATGTGTGAGAGTTTGTCAGTCTGCATGTGACTGGTGCCTGCGCGTATGTCATCTGTGTGCATATGTATGTGTGTGTCATGTGTGTGCCCATGTGTGAAGAATGTATAAACATGCACTTATGTGTATTGACTTATGGAGATACATAAAATTGTCCCTATTGTATCTACTTCAAGATACTTAACATGATTTGTTTGTTTATTGTCAGCTTTTCTCACTAGAATATAAGCTCCAAAAAAGAAGAGACTTGCCTGTCTTGTTCATCACTGTATTCCCTGTGTCCTAGCACAGTCCCTGACCCATAGCTGTTGCTCAGACGGCATTTGTTGAATGAATGAATGAATGAATGAATGAATGAATTGGATCCATATGGCTTGAGATCCATTTAACTTATGATTTTACCCTTGTCACTAAGGTCTCTTAATTTCTGTAATGCTCAAGAATTGAGTAAGTTTATGAATGAAGAAAAGTACCAATATGTATTGATTATGTCCTGTACTGTGCTAAACATTAAGATGAAAATCTCCTTTAATCCTTGCAATTATCCTGTGAGACACGAAGCATTATCATTTCCATTGCACATAGGGTAGATTGGGGCTCAGAGAAATGAAGTGACTTTTCCAAGGTTGAAAAGCCAAAAAGTGGCAAAGCTGCACTGGAATTCATATTCGTCCGACACTAGATCCGCTACATTACTTTGCGAAAAGAAGGCAGGGACAACGAGGCTGCCTGCTCACAGCGCTGTGAGGATCAAATAGGTAACGTGGGACTACAACAACTCCTGGCACAGAATACACAGCTGACCCTTGAACAGTGGGGCATTAGTGGCTGACCCTCTGTACAGTCTAAATTTTGCATGTAATTTACAGCTGGCATGCTGTATCCAGCAGTTCCATATCTGCGGATTCAACCAACCGCGGACCCTTTAGTACTAGAGGATTTACCACTGAAAAAAATTCCTCATATAAGTAGACCCACACAGTTCAAACCCGTGTTGTTCAAGGGTCAGCTGTACTACTCATATTAGCGGTCCTATTGTTTTAGCTGTCCTCTTCATAGTTTCCATTTTCCTTTCAAGAGAAGAGGAATAAATAAAATCCATATCTCGAGGCTAAAGGGCACTGGCAAACCACCTTTTTACCCTCTCCCCTTCCTTCTTTTCTCCTACTTTCTTCTTGACAGAAACAGGCAGAACCAGGTAAGAGCTTCACCTGCAGGTGTCACAGCTGAAATTGGAGGGGGTTATCTGACACTTTCAAAGGCTTATTTCAGGGGTGGAGAATGAGAAAAGCCGCACAGAAATTAAGGTCATAGTTGTGAAGATGATATTGCATGTCTCACTGGAAAGGAAGGATGGGACAGAGCCTCCGTAGCTGGGAGGGCTCCAAGTAGGATAGATGCAGGGCGGGTAGGGGAGGGCACTTACGCTGTGCCTGTAAAGAGGTAGCAGAATCCAACACACATGGTGCCCAGAATGACTTTGGGGAGGGGTCTCCTACTATCTAGAGGACCAGGGCACTAGATTCGGGCTGCTTTCTGTAGGAGTGAGGAATAACGCCATCGAGACCAGAGCCAGTGTCCAGAGCAGAGCTGGAAGTGAGAGTCAAGGAGACTGCAACCGAAAGCAATATCCAGAAAGAGGAAAGTCAGACCTTCGGTAGCAAGAAGGAAGTAGAGGTGCAGTCAAGAGGGCTTCAAAGAGGAAGGTTAATGATGGGACCTGGCCAGCATCCCCACCCCTCACAGAGCCCCCGGGGCATTCTGTGAGCTGTATCTGTGGATCCTCTACTAGGGGAAGGGGGGTGGCCTGATCTTCTCTCATCCTTTTCCATATTCTTAAACTAAATAAAGGCTTTACAATGACTTGTGTAAACTACAAGTACTATAAAACCACAGGAGATTGTTCATATTATAATCTTCATTGTCTCTCCAGAGTGGAAGAGGGAGAGAGGTAGGAACTCAGGAACAGGAGCTGGTCTTGAGTTGTTAAAGACCATCTTTCCAGTCCCTTCAAAGAAAAGAATCCCATCTTTAGATTTGAGAAAAACTGACCTTTGGGAAGCAAGAACCATGAAAGTAGGCAGCTTGGGGTCCCACTATGGGGGGAGTCTCACATTATAGAAACTGGAGAGTCACAGAATATCAGAGCTCAGAGGGACCTGAAAGATGATCTGTGCCTGAAGTTTTCAAACCTTCTCCTGCAGAGCGCAGGATACTGCAGAGCTGCCGGGAGGGGTGGCCGTGGAGCGTCTCTCAGCCCTCAGCTGCAGGAAATGTGCAAAGCTCTGCTCTATTCTGATTCACCCAGTGCATCAGAGGAAGAAAGGAAGTCCTCGTGGGAGCAGAACACTCCCAGAGCACACAGCTAGCTTGGCGCAGACAAGGGACTTCAGCCTGGCACCCTTCCCTAGTGTCCAGAAGGGAACAAATGGGATGAGTTCCTTCCAGGAAGTATTTGTTTCCCCCCAAGGTATTTCCCGAGTTCCAGCAAGTGGCCTGGTAGGACCCAGCTGGCTGTCTCTCCCCTGGATGCCATAACTGATAAACAGCCCTAGGACAGGACCAGGCTGCCTCAGTTGTTTATTATCTCAGCCAAGGAAGGCTTGACGAGACAAAACACCTCTTCATACATTTGCATCAAAATGCTCGGCAACCTTTGACTCCAGCACTGCCTTTGTTAGCCCAAGAGCTCTGTTATCAACTCTATAAATCTGGCAGTGGTATTTGCATATGCCTCCACAGGCTCTATAACATTCCTAGGCTGTCACGACATTCAGAGAGGTGAGGCAGGAACAACATGCCACTGGGGTGAGAGGTGAGCCTCTTCACACCTATGCTGATGAACCAGTGGGTGCAGCTTGGGTGAGGGAGGCGCACCTTTTACTGATCACAGGCAAGAAGTTAGGCACTGCCCTAGGCGCCCTGCGTGAACATCATTCGATCCTCATGACAGCCTGAGAAGTGAGTATCTATTGGTTAGAATGGGCTAGGCTCAGATCAAAACTACAATGAGGTATGACCTCACACCGGTCAGAATGGTGATCATCAAACAGTCTACAAGTAATAAATGCTGGAGATGGTGTGGAGAAAAGGGAACCCTCCTACACTGTTGGTGGGAATGTAAATGTGTGCAGCTGCTGTACAGCACAGTATGGAGGTTCATCAAAAAACTAAAAATAGGGGCTTCCCTGGTGGCGCAGTGGTTGAGAGTCCACCTGCTGTTGCAGGGGACACGGGTTCGTGCCCCGGTCCGGGAGGATCCCACATGCCGCGGAGCGGCTGCGTCCGTGAGCCACGGCCGCTGAGCCTGCGCGTCAGGAGCCTGTGCTCCGCAACGGGAGAGGCCACAACAGTGAGAGGCCCGCGTACCGCAAAAAACAAACAAACAAAAAAACTAAAAATAGAGCTCCCATATGATCCAGCAACCCCACCTGGGCATATTCTGGAGAAAACTCTAGTTCAAAAAGATACATGCACCCCTGTGTTCATAACAGCACTATTGACAATAGCCAAGACATGGAAGCAACCTAAATGTCCATCGACAGATGAATGGATAAAGAAGGTGTGGTACATCTATACAATGGAATATTACTCAGCCACAAAAAGGAATGAAATAATGCCATTTGCAGCAACAAGGATGGAGCTAGAGATTATCATATTAAGTGAAGTAAGTCAGACAAATATCATATGATATCACTTATATGTGGAATCTAAAAAAAGTGATACAAATGAACTTATCTACAAACCAGAAATAGGCTCACAGACTTAGAAAATAAACTATAGTTACCAAAGGGGCAAGGGGCGGGGGAGGGATAAATTAGGAGTTTGAGATTAACAGATATACACTACTATATACAAAATAGATAAATAACAAGAACTTACTGTATAGCACAGGGAACTATATTCAATATCTTGCAATAACCTATAATGGAAAAGAATCTGAAAAAGAATACATAACAATATATAAATATCATTATATATATATATATACACACATATATATAACTGTTTCACTTTGTGTACACCTGAAACTAACACAACATTGTATTATAAATCAAATATACTTCAATAAAAAATTTTTAATTAAAAAAATTTTTTTAATTAAAAAAAAAAAAGAACGGGTTAGGCTCTGTGATAGTAATGCTTAAACCTTGGAATCTCAGCGGCTGCACATAATGAAAGTTTACAAGTCATGCAAATCCAGACTGGGTTGTGAAATGGATGCATTACAGGGTCTTCTTTCTCTTGGCCAGGTCTCTCCTGCTATATCTAAAATCAAGTTCATCCCGCTACCTCTAGGATTGATCCTTTTCTACTAATTTATGGTCTAGACCACACAAGACATTCATAGCTTTCCTATTAATGAAACCTATACCTTATTTCTTGGGAAATAATACAATGGCCTCATGATGCCAGGGGAAAGGCAGGCCCTTCCTGCCCAGACTTAGATTAAAAAGCACTCATTGTGCATGAAATTAAAGAATATCACACTGGAATTCCTTCTTTTTATTACCTAGGAAATGAAATTTAGAAGTCTCATTTCACCCCACCACAAATATAGCTGTTTCATGAAAAATGACAATACTGATTTCATTCATGACATAATTAACGGGGTGAGAAACAAACACTTAAAACCCAAATATGGGGTTTAGTAGGCTTGGTAAAACTTTTATGATTAGCTATAAACAATCAGATTTAATGAAGCAATACATCTGCTCATACAAAGTATAAATGATTATTAGAGTTGCAGACAAAACATTCCTACTCACAGAAGACCTAATGGTATGAAAACAGTAATTACAATGCCAAAAATATTGTTAAGTGTTAAAATTGACACCGGGAAAATGAAACACTTTGCTTAATTTCTGATAACGTTACATGTTGAGACATGACATGTCTGGCATTTCAATTGACACAAAACCTTGTTTTTTAGTTCAAACACATTTCAGACTTTCACACTCTGCTTTGCAATATGATTTCCCAAAGTTTGGCCTCGCTCCCTCAGATTGCAGGGTGCCATGGGTCCAAGTTATATTTCCTTTCTTCTTGTACATTACCTAAACTCAAGAGTTTTGTTTTGTTGCTGTTTTCCCTTTTAAATGCAAGTCAAATTCTGTGATCTGGAATACCACTGCTTGCACATGTCAGCTCCCCTCCCAAGAGAAGCAGCACGTTTGTGGACAAAATGTATAACTCAGGTCCCACAGAGATCCAGGAACCATATTCTACCTCTGCTCATACGACATCTGATACTATAGGTAAGCAAGATGTAAAGTGGGGACCATTTTGCATTTTATCTGATGTCTCTGGACGAGCAAAATATTGCCTAGAAACGGTTTACAATTTCTATTTGAATATATTCCCTGTAATATATGCAGGTTTCTACAAACAAAAGGAACCCCACACATTTCAGCAGGCCGACAGTCTGAAAGCGCCCTCTCCTCAGAGCGCTGAAATCAGCACCATTTGAACAAAGCAGCCTGTCCTTTTAAGAAAAATCCCTCTATAGAAATGCTATAATTTCCTTGTTACAAAGGAGCCTTTTTCAGAGCACGTAAAGTGCCAGTTTGTTCAGTGTGACCTCTGCTTTCATTCTATCAAGGTTGTATCTGATTACAATTTAAGACAGATGAAGGGGATGCCTTTCGAGGCAAAGAAGAAAAAAAGTTTTAGTCTTGGGTCACTTGCAAAAGTGGTTCATCACTTTTATTGGCAACGTTTTCAATAACATTTTGGGGGTGGTTCTCCTATGTCAGTCTGAAAAGATGTCTGGGATACATTTTCAGGGCTTTGATGTGCTTATTGGGAGTTGACCCACATGGGAAATGCCGTGCTGCTGCTTTCTTTCCGGAAAACAAGGTGGCTGAACTGGAGAGGGTCTCAGCGGACATCACATCTGCATGGGGCCTCCTTGTGTGTCGGGCCATTCGGTTGCCTAAGCCTGCACTGGCCCACAGTCCAAATCCTACAGGAGCTGATGTGACTTCAGAAGGAGCTCTGTGAACTGTGAAGAACAATGCAGACGTTCTTTGTGTATTACTGGAGACAGAAAACCATGGTGGTAAAGAGTCCAGAAGAGCTGGGTCTTAAAGCCTGGCTCTACTACTTACTAATTCTTGCAAACATTCTATATTATTCATATAATTTGGGCTAATCACCTCCCTGAGCCTCACTCCCATCCTCTACCTCACAGGGTTATCAAGAGTTAAACGAGATAATGTCCATCATCCTCTGGGCACAGTGCCCAGGACATAGTAAGTGTTCAAGAAATGTCAGATGTGATTATTTTTCGTAGTTCCGGTACTTTGAAGAAGAGATAAAGCCCTGGGAAATCTTGCCCTCCCTGAAAACCGTGGGAGGGAACACAGTTGAGTGTAATAGAAGTGGCACAGACATTGGAGTTAGACTTGTATCCTGTCCCCCGTCTGAGACCTTGGCTTTATCTTCCTGTCATCGAGTTTCCCAAGTATAGAAACAAAGACACTTTCTACTTCGTGGTGCCTGGCCTACGGGATAGGTCCATACATGTTTTATGAATGCAGGGATGAGATAACAAATGGAAAGCACTTTGTACGTAGCAGATGCTTTAAAAATGTCACACTGTATTTACGGGTTGGATTATCTCCGCCTCAATGGGTAAACTGTGCTCCTTTCAGCGCTACCTTTGAAAGTACATCCAGCCCCACCGTATGCCTTTGTCCAAACCTCAGCCCCTACTGGGAGCAGCCAACTCCTCCCTAAGGTCCCTACAGCCACTCAGACTGCCATCTGTCCCCTGCTCAGCAGTCTGGAGGGATCTTTCCAAAAATATGGAGTAAATCATGATGCTCCCTGCTTGGACCCTCCAGTAATTCCTGTTGCTGTCAGAGTGAATCCACCATCCCCACCCGGGCCCCTCCTGGCTGCCCATCTAGCCTCACCTGCTGGGGCTCTGCCCTTCACTCTTTCCCACCTGGCAACGCTCTTGTCCTTCTGTTCCTCTAACACAGCAAGGACTTGGCTGTGCCCTCTGCCTGAACTTTTCTTCACCCAGATTTTTCCTGGCTCCTCCGTCTCTTCATTCATGTTTCGGTTCACATGTCTTCCCTCCAAGAGGCCCCTTGACCACCTAGTTTCCCCTCCAGCCCTATCACCTCTTGACCATGACCACTTTACCGTCTCCCTGGCAGCTCTCGCTCCCAAACATTCTCCTCTTTTTTGTTTTTTTTTAAATCATTTTTCCTATCTCTCTCCCCGACTGAATTAAACCTGAGATCAGGTGTTTTTTATGTATCGGTCACCCTTGTATCACCAGAGCCTAGGACATGTGCTGGCATACAGTAGGTGCTCAATCAGTGTTGGCTTAATGAATATTGATTGCTCACTGTGTGCTGGGCACCAGTTAAAGTGTCCGGGATTCAGAGAGATGAATGGCTGTTTTGTTCTCAAAACAGATAAATATTGCAAGAGAGATAAGCTTAGGATATTATGGGAGAACAAAGGATAGACAAAGACATCCATATATTGAATAAAATGGGGTGATGATGGGGGTGGCAGAATCTTCCCAGGGTGGCCAAAAGCACCTGAATCTCGAAGACCATGTACTAAATTGTAATGTCCCCCCAGCCAAACTGCTGTACCAGGTAAAAATGGATTACATATGAAACGGCTTTGTAAACAAATTTTTGCTCTTAATGTTGTTGCTAGTAACCTTTGTCTAAGGCTGTACATTGGCCCTTGCTCCTCTGAGCCTCTAATTTCAGGATGGTCTGTTTCTTTTCTCTACCCATGCAAAGAAAACCCCAAACCTTCAAACTCTAACCTCAAGCCTGAGACCATGGGTAGTGGGTTTAGAAGAATGGAGAAGCCGGCTGTGGGCAGAGCCTTGGAAAATAGCTGCTTCTGCAAAGAAGGATGACTCCCATCGCCAGACCAGCCCCTCACAGTGTTGTCGGGGAGAGGCTGGCGAGAGGCTCTCACAGAAAAACACAAGAAGAATCGCTGTTAAAAATATTGTGACAAGTTATATGAAGCACTAAGGGATATTTCTGAGTTTCTCAAGAGCGAGGCAATCGTTCCCACAGTCATAAAAGTGCCTCGGCAAGCAAGGACAGTAAATGTAATAAAAGGGGGGAAATGTTGTCTGAGCTCATAAAGGAGGAGGGTGATTGTGTAGTTACAGACCTTCATAAACTCCTTCAACACAGTAGAGGGAGAGAAATTGGGTCAGCAGACGATGCCTCCATCACGCTTGCTAACCTAGACAAGATGGGCCAGCGGAAAAACAATGGGACCATGTCACTATTCTAGTGAATAAAGGCAGGGCCTCGGGGGAGAGACTTGTCATTTTAGAGTCAGCACAAGACATATTCCAAAAGTAGAAAACTTACTGGACTAGGGATCAGGAGACCCGGGCTCTGGACCTGTTTTTTTTCTGAGTTATTGTGTGGCTTAAAATAGTCACTCGATATACTAGTCAGGGTAATTAACTCCAGATGCTATAACAAACAAATCCATACTCTTAGCGTACTAACACATTAAACATGCATTTCCCTATCATATCATCATGCAATGTGGGTTAACAGAGGGATTTGCTCGACATGGTCATTCAGGGGCCCAGGCTAATGGACATACTGCCATTTTTAAGCACATGATTCTCAAGATCACCCTGGTATTAACCTCTAACCTGCCAGTGGGAAAGAGAGAAAGGGTGTTGAGGACCACAAAGGATATTAGGAATCTTGGGACTTATAAACTAAAATTACAAATTATCTCTTTCTCCTGATGTACGATGGTGGAGCAGCAACAGAAATTCCACAGTAAAGTCTCACATTCACAAAAGAAGGCACATAATAGTCACGGATTCATAGCAATGTGGGAATCCTGTAGTGCAGACACTGTGAGCTTCCTTGTTTTAGGACAGGGGGAGGC